ACTTATTTTTTGTCTATTCAAAGAGCATTTGATATTTGAGGGTTATGTGTGTAGTAGATCCAAGAATTGAAGTCTATTGCAGAGATAACTGAGACAAAGAATATCTCACCCAGGCCATATCAATATGCTGCAAGCTTTGTGGCAAGAGAAAACAAGAATAAAAAACAAGAGAAAGAAAGAAAAAGAAGAAAAAGGCCAGGTATTGAGATTTGTGCTGATAACAATACTGACTGCCTTGTTTGGGGTAGGTTTGACATGACATCAAGCTCGAATTGAAAAAATACTCCAAATGATATTTGGCAGTGTTGAGGTTCAACAATGAGGATGGTGGACACTGAATGCAGCAAAGAGAAGAAAAAATATTTTATTAGCATGGTATACCACAACTAGCTAAACAGAGCCCTTTCAGACAAGCAAACTCACATATGATTGACCTCCAACAGGGGTGGCAAGGACCTAACGAGAACAATTATAGCATTCCCATTCTGATTCATGCCCTTGGCTTGTGGCATTTGGACAATCTTCAAAAATGTATGCACTGCAGACATTATTCGGGTTCCCCAAGTGGGCAGGGAAAAATGATTGGGAGTATGATTTGTCATAAAATGGTCTATCACTCCACACCTGAGCCATAACACCCACACTACATATGTGTAGCAGGCTCAGTGAATATGTGGTTATCATGTACATACAGTTCTGCTCAGTTATCTGCTCATCAGGACAAGTTATTCATATGTAATACATGCTGTAACTTCTTTCAGATTGAAAAAAGCTTCCAAAAGATTGACTACATACACTGACTCAATGTTTTGGTGTGATCTCATCAACTCAACTGCATGTAACACACTTTCTGTTACTAAGACATAGCTTCAACAATATTGCCTGAGCAGCTACAGAATTATATGTAGTGAATTTTTGGGAAAAAAAATTCAAAGTCGAAAAAGTTACATGTGGTATAACATGTGATTTATTTATTCTGATGGGCAAAAAACTGAGCAGACCTGTATGTACATGATAGACAACTATTGACTTAGCTTGCTGCACATATGTAGTGTGGGTGAAATGGCCCAGGTGTGCAGTATTAGATTATTTTATGAAAAACTGTACTATTAATCATTTTCCTCTGCCAAATTGGGGAAGTTGAATGATGTTTACAGTGATGTGAAATAGTCTTTTTTGCTACATTCAGGACATTTGTAGTTGCCCACAATCTTATCAATGCAACACGCTTCATCATTGGGTTGACCACAGCGAGCACAATCAATCAAAGCACCACAACTTCTGGGATATTTATGCATTTTCATTTTGACATTGCAATCATCACATTTAGGTGGTGTACAGAAGCCTACTTGTGCTAGTCCAAGTAGAAAAGCTGTGACAACAATGAAAATGGATGCTGATTGAAACTTCATCCTGCTGGAGCTAATGAATCAACTGACTGATTCTAAAATTATGATCTTATTTTTGGAATTTCCTTGGAAGTGTAGAACTAATTTGATGGTCGTTAGGGAGACTTGGAGAAGAGAGGGGGATTATATACCTTTTCTGACTGAAATCACTAGTGGCCAAGTTGTGGTTCAGATTTCTCATATTGGACTTATCAATATGTGGCAAATTTTCAGAAATTGTAATCAGTGTGACATGATAATCAAACCCACATCTTGAAACTTCTTTGACATAAATAAGGCCAAGTTATGGTTCAGATTAGTTGCCAACATGTGGTCTAGGCTACACAGCTGGTTCATCAATCTGTGGCAAGTTTCTAGAAGTGGGGATCAGAGCCCAAACCTGCATCATGAAACTCAGCTTATGCAAATATGGCCAGAATGTGGTTCAGATGAGTGGCCAAGATATGGCTTGAATTGCACATGATTGGGATGTATGAAATTTCCACCCTTAAGGCTGAAGGTGGCCAATTTAATTGAAGTGTGTGTTGAAAATCAATTTACACTAAAAAAGTTTTGTTCTTGAATATGATCCTTTTGTGCTTGCTTTGCTGGTGGATTGAGGTGTAGGTTCATGTGAACAAAGGGGCTATAGTGAGGGTGATTACTAGCTTGTGTTTGAGATTTTCTTGTGGGCAGGAGTCTCCCCTTGTAATATAACTCAAGAGACAAGAACATTGAGAGACCAATTGGTCTTAAAAAGTTCAAGATGTTTGCTCTCCTCAATTGGCCTTGGAACTTTCCCATGTTTCATTGTGCGCAAAAGGCAATAATTCAACTCCAAGATTTGCTCTGGCTGTACAATCTCAAAGCCTTTGATTGAACTTTTAAACACCGGAGGCAGCTGTCATGATATGAAATAAAGTTTACAAATCACAAGAACCTTCAGTCAACCTGAAAACTAGTGGCAAGTTGGTAAAAAGAATTTGATAATAAATCACCTGATGCAGTGGTGAACATGGAAGACAAAAAAAGGGTAAGGGCATAGCTTTCTCCCAATGAGTTTCAGAGTGCAGGAGGGACACCCTATTAGACACCAGGATGATGATCTATTGAATCTTAGAAGACATCATCTGTCTAGGTGGTGATTAAACAGAGAATGCTTTTTCCCATGCAAAAATTCTGCAACCTTCGTGGAAAGAGAGACCAAGAGTAAAAAGCATTAGAAAAAAAGGAAAGGAAGAAAAAGGCCTGGTATTGAGATGAGTTGCTGATAAGACTAGTGACTGTCTTGTTTGGGGTAGGTTTGACATGAGTTCAGACTTGGATTGAAAGAAGCACTTCAAAATTATATTTAGCCTTGAGTGTTGAGGTTCAAAATTGAGCATAGTGGACAATTGATGCACCACAGAAAAGAAAAAAATGTTTTGTTAGCATGTTGTATCACAGCTAGCTAATCAGCAACATGTCAGGTAAGGAAACCCACATATAATTCACCTGCAAAATGGGTAGCAGGATCTAGATATCAGGATCACAAGATTTGCATGTCAATACATGCTCTTCGATTGAGCACTTTCCAGGTTCAGAGTATCTATGATCCACATCAGTACATTCCCCACATCTGTATCTGCCCACATAAATTTCAAGGTGACACCTTAACCAATCATCATTAGAACAGGTGTCACAAGCCCAAGATGCTCCACACTCTTCCTTCATTTGTTTCCATCCCATTTCAACATTGCAGTGATCACATAGAGGTGCTGGTGGCCGTTCGGGATTAGGACACACAATCACTTGTGCTAGTGCAAGTAGGCAAGCTGTGAAGATGATGAAAGTGGATGCTGATTGTAACTTCATACTGTTGGGGCCAATTAATTAACTAACTGATTCTAAATTTATAATCTTCTTCTTTAGAATTTACTTGGGAGTTCAGTACTAAATTGATGGTTTCAATGATGATGATTAAAAAAGGCAAGAATCTTGCAGAAGAGAGGAAGCTTATATAGCTTTTTTTGACTTAAATATGTAGTGGCCAAGTTGTGGTCCAGATTTTTGAAATTTGACTTATCAATATGTGGCAAATTTTCAGAAATTGTAATCAGTGTGGTATGCTAATCAAACCTGCATCACAAAACTTCCTTGACATAAATATGGCCAAGTTATGGTTCAGATTAGTTGCCAACATGTAGTCTAGACTGCACAGCTGGTTTAGCAATCTGTAACAAGTTTTCAAAAGTGGGGATCAGGGTGAATTGTTACCCAAACCTGCATCATGAAACTTGACTTATGTAAATATGGCCAAGATGTGGTTCAGATTAATGGCCAAGATGTGGTTCAGCATGGTGGCCAAGATGTGGTTCAGATTAATGGCCAAGATGTGGTTCAGCATGGTGGCCAAGATGTGGTTTGGATTGCACACAATTTGGATGTATGATGTTTTCAACCTTCAGGCAGAAGGCAGGGATTCTAATCGGAGTCTTTGTTGAAAATTGATTTATACTAAAAATGTTTTGTTCTTGAATACAATCCTTTTGTGCTTGAATTTCTGTTGGATTGAGGGGTAAGTTGATCTGAACAAAGGCAATATTGTGAGTCTCAATCAAAGGTGGTCAATGACTTGTGATTAATCTGTTCTTGCTGGAAGGCTTCTTTGCTTGTTGTAATATAGTCTCTATTTTTTTCTGATTCTTTTCCTTACCAAAAACACTTGTGTGATTTCAGTATATCTACTCATCCTACAAACTTATACTTGATCTCCATGAACTCTTTTGGTACACTTTGTTCTCAAAAAACTCAGAATCTGTCTGAAATGTGATTGAGCCCTCAGATGCTCAACTTTGAACAGCTTCAATGTCCAAGTATTTTGGAAGACTCCAAATTTGAGGCAGCTCCATTGGTTTCTTACATAACATAGATGGTGTTCATCCATTTGTTGAAATATTTCAGAAATGGAGATGTAATTGATTGATTGCTCTAGCCCTTCCTTTTGAAGCTGAGTTTGGACAAACAATTGTGTTCTGCACACTCCTAACCAATTATGAAATTGCACATACAAACAAGTACCCAGATTTTGATGTGCAAAGCTAAGTCCAAGCCTCTTGCCAGTCCCGTGTTACATAGACTTTTGTCAATAATCCAGCTGTGCTAAATACCTATTGTGTGTTTATAGTCAAAGATCATTTGATTTTTGACAGTGCAGTGTGTAATATATCTAAAAATTGAAGTCTTTATCATAGCAATCACTCAGACAAATAAAATCTCACCCAAGCCACATCAATGCAACATTTGTTACTCAGAGTCAGACTCATGTGGTAAACACATGGCATTGGCTACACTCACAAAACAGCCACTGCAAATGCATGTATACACTTGGTGACTCTACATAACTAATAACACACTCTGGCTCAAGGGACATAAAGTTTGTTCCACTGAGTTGGTCATCAAACAACTTGTGATCCCAAAAAACAATTGATCAACCACACCACATCAGTGGAAAGAATTAAATCAAGTACTGCAATATAAAAACAAGCCTAATGGAAGATATGCCATGAGATCTTGTTGTTTGAGGATCATCTGGTGCGCATGAGCTTCTAGTTAAAATGTTATAGATATGTTGATCATCTCATGTTCATCACTTGAGTCTATTTCAATATGTTGCAAATCCAATTTCAAAACCTGAAAAGCGTATAAAGAATTCAAATGAAAAAGCAAAAATCAAAAATGATTTAAAAGATAAAACAAGTACTAAATGAAGTTCGAAATACAAAATTGTATTAGAGAAAAAACACTTGATATTAAATTAAACAATCCAACTTACTTTTCAACCAAAAAACAAAACAAAAGAACAAAAGAACAAACAAAAGAACAAAATAGTCACAAACAAAAGGTTTGGTTCATCAAAACCTAGTCAAAAGATGACCAATCAAAACTTCTTCTTCAACAGCTGCCATCCTCAACATCCCTCTACTAATCAATTCTCTTCTCTCACTTCCAATCACATCTAAATCCCAATTTGATTTTCTCATTTCCCATAATACAATCACTTCAGATTCTACCATCACTTTTGTATTCCGAGGTAAGATTGATAAAAAAGTATGGTCCCCTGCTATCGTACCTGGTAACATACTTTCTTCTATTTCGGTTTTCAAGGTGGGCCATTGTCCATAAGTAGCTCTTAAGATTCCAGTTTCAATCAAATAAAAACTTTTATAGCAAAACAAATCAAAGGAAAGGTTAGTTAAACTCATCAACAGACTAGATTAGAATTCCTATTTCTTACCAATCTGGGTTAGATCCAATTTCCCATAAAACTTCTCCTTTCCTCATCTCAATCCTCTTGAAATAAGGTGCAATACTAACAAACCAATCCCGAAGCAAAAGAAACAATAATTAATCTTAGAATTCAAGCAAGGTGATCTTCAAAATGAGTATCACATTACATTTTCCAAAAGTCTTGATTTAATTCAGGTAAGAATGGTCTAAAGGTTTGAAACAATAATTGAGTAGGTTGTAAACTCGAATGATGTTGTTGAGGGGTGATCATCCCAGCTAAGAAAAAAAAAGATTAAACATGTATTAACAAAAGAAGAAAAGACAAGAAAAGTTGTGTAAGACAAAACGAACCTGAGCTCATAAGGTCTTTAGCTGCTAATAACCTGAACGTATTCCTTGGAGATCCTTGTTCTTCATTATGTTCTCCTGAAAAACTTGATCTAAGTAAAGCTTGTTTCGGTTTATTTTGATTAGATTGTTGTTGAAATCCAGGTGACAAGATCAATTCAGTAGGATATAAACTTCTAAGATGTACATTCTCACAAAACTGTTACACACCCCGCAAAAAAAAGTTGATTGAATGCTTTGAAAATGAAGTCAAGAAAAGTCAAAAGCAAGAAAATTAACAAACCTCAAGAGCTTGATTTAAAGTTTCAAATACTTCAATTTGATCTCTAAATCCATTCCAAAGTCCAACACTCCTCAAAGCTTTACCAATCTTATCACTCGCACCACCAATCACAAAGATGATCCCTCTAAGTTTCAATAATCTTTCGATTCTCAATAATCCTTCAATTGCACTAAAATCAATACTATCCACTGATGTTAAATCTAAAACTAAATGTTGGATTTCTCTTCCTGACTCAAAGAAACCTTTCATCGTCTTTTCACATTCAGAGATCGTTCCAAAGAATAAATGACCTTGAAGTTTGATCACACGTCTAGTACGATAGATTGAATTTATTAGTCATTTCTCTTTCGATGAAATAAAGCGGTCGTTACTCACATTTGTGAACCGATTCTTTTCAAGAATTCGTGTTGAGTCGGATGTCTTCTCACAGTCGATCGAGCCAATCTTCCATCCATAACACTCCTGATCGCACGATGTTGTGAGACGGTTACGACAAATGAGATACAAGCCAGGATGATTCCTACCACCAGTCCGACAACAAAATCATGCCAAGTCGCTGGAAACAAAAACAAATCATACTAAGTATGCATCAACAAAACAAGTACATACGACAAAACAACATACCGGCGATAATGATAGCCCATATGCTATTCAAATCGACCCACAAACCAAAGTGAATTTCTTGTCAAATTCACTCATTTGTGATGGTATAATTGAAGAACATTACTCACGTTCCATACTCAGCCCAACTCACTTTCCACCAAGTATCCCAAACCGCTTCTTTCAGTAGATCAAATCCCAACAAAAAGATCAAAGCGCCTACCACACAAACTGGTAAGAAAGCAATCGGTTGAGGACCGATAGCGAAGATACCAATCATTCCGATCGATAACATTAATCCTGCAACTCTTGAATCTCCTCCTACTTTGACAAACAACACTGAGTTGACATAGCAGAGATAACTTTTGTCGGAAGGGACAATTTTGATAAGCCATTAATTATGTGATTTTGATCTTTGTGAGGTGGATAAAGTTGAAAGACTGACTTTGAGACTGTACCGAATAGAGATGCGACTGTATTCGAAATCCCATGAGCAATCAATTCTCTATCAATATCGATATCATCCATTCCGAGTGAAATCGAAAGAGCAGGTACATTAAGTGGCACTATAAATTCAAAGCATCAATCAATCGCATTGTTTAATCAAAAGTAAAAAGTAAAAAGTCGAGGGAACGAACCATGAAGTAATCCAAAGATCACCATAGCTAATTGACTAGTCAGAGTTTGTTGAAAAACTGACCAATTAATTTCTCTGAATTTGAAATAACTATAAAAACTTAATGGACCAGTTGGAGCAGTTGAGTTATTAGGAGCTGGTAGATTGAAGATCCAACCTGATGATCTAAGGTTTTCGATTGGGACCTTGAGAATTAAACTGGTGATGATATAAAATCCTATTGGGATAATGATGAAATAAGTCGGAACGAAGAAGGGATGGGTGATTATAGCCGAAAGAACTCGAAGGATCATAGCTAGTGATAAGGGTACAATCTATAGAAGATGGATTTATTTTGAGACAATATATATATGGACAAAGGTAGAATTAAAAGATGACTTACCCAAAGTGGGATGATCTCAGGTTTGGAGAGATGAGCAAAGGTATCAAAATTTAATCCAATGGCATCTGGAAATTGAGCAGTAACTTGGACTCTACGTATATAGGTCATTGTTAGTGAGGGTCAAGAAATTGTTACATCATTGAAATGGAAAATATCAATGAAGATACACATACCCTGTCAAGAATAAGAAAACTCCAACTGATCCAATACAACCAACCAAGATATGCCTTGGAAAGACTATAGAGAAGAAACAAAAGGTCAGGTTGATAAATTCGAACTTCATAAATCAAAAGATAAGATTTCAACTTACATCCCATTAAATTACCAAGCTTAAGTGCTCCTAAACTGAAGAAAGCTAAACCAGTTAAAAAAGTCGAAAACGCAAAAGCCATTAAAGTAGTAGCTAAGATTGCATCAGGATTTGAATCTCCAATTTGATCTGCAATCTTATTGGCAATCACATGCATGAATGGAATACTTTCAATCATCATGGATCCATTACCTAATCATTGTTTTGCAAAAAAAAATCATCATCAATCAAAAATCAATTGAGAAAGATATTTTGAAGGAAATTAAAAGTTAAATTTTGAAACTGACCACCTTTAAAAGCACTTGCACCTAATGAATAGACCAATTGAGAGATAATACAAGATAAGAAAAACATTGAAATCCCAATCGAACCTAAACCATCAAAAGCTTGATGAGATTGATTAGGAAAGATGATCAGACCGTAACTAACACCATCTAAGATATTCATCATTAATCCCAAGATGACAGCTGGTATATAACCTAAGATGATTGGAATCTGATTGGATGCGTTCTTGATGAGATGGTTTGATTTGGATGGTTTGTTCTTGGTTGGAGTCGTATCATTTTGATGGGTTGTTGGAATAGACCCATAGTTTGCGTTGAGGTTATCATGGTTGGTTGAGATTGAATTGTTAATGATTCTGAATGGTCGTGAGATCAAAGGAGTGAGTTGATGATGCTGATCTTGAAATGATTTTGGCTGCTGTGGCGATGAGGGTGTTCTCAAGAGTGATGTGGATTGATGAGAGGTTGAGAAATCAGAAGTTGATGAAGCATCAGAACTTGAGATCGATCTAGGTGATGAGATTGATTGTAAAGGATTATTGTGTGAAAAAGGTTCAGGTTGAGATATACTGGAGAGTGCGAGATCAGCTAATTGATTTGAATTGAATCGAAGTTGATCTTGATTTGAAGAATATGAATATGAACAAGATGAATAAGATTGTGATGATCTATGATGTTGATGAGGATTATTGATTTGATTTGATGGGTTTGATTGATTAGAGTCTACACTAATGTTACTTTGATTTAAATCTTGATGATAAATCGGTTGATGTGATGGTCGATTTGGATTGCTCAGGATTGATGAGATTGATGGTCTCTTCATGATTTTGATTTTGATGGTAGGCTTTTCTCGACCGAGAGGGTATCCTTTCGATCAAAGGTCTATGAGTCTGAAGACTTGAATTGAGTCTGAGGATTGGGATGATGATAAGTTTTGAAGTTGGTATCGATCGTAACTAGTTTCGTGAATGAGAATGTTGTTGTTGACGATGATGCTGAGTTGGTGACTGATGGTGTGCTTTTGACATCATTTAGTTCATTAATGATGTTCTCCTTGATATTTCCATCTATTCGTCATATCAAACTCCATTAGCTGCTCAGTCTAGAATTCTGATTTTGACTGACTTGACTTACTCTTTCCACTCCTCTCAGACGAGTCAGTTTATGAATCAAACTACTTCCAGACCTAACGACACTTCACTGATAACCAATCTTGATCTCGCTTTACCTCTTGTGGTTTTCTCGATTCTCTTGTTTACCTTTTTTTTTGTACTTTTTTTCTTCTTTCTATCCTGATTCCCCGCACGTCTTGCACACGTGACACAGACGTGACACCAGGTCCGAGTCATGATTTCTTTGGCCACGTGGCTGATTGTCCAGCATAAAACTCGACCCCACCCTGAGCAATCACGAAGGAACCTTCAAACATACTTTTTATCAAAGAGCACTGAGCAATCTTTGACTGCAAGAAGGCACAATTTATGCATTCATCCACTAAACGTAACCCAACGCTCCCATCTTTCTTATTTGGTGACACTTGATTATATCCCAAAAACAAAGTAAGGTGGCTGGGTCTTCAGCTTGAGCCTAAACTCACATTTAAAAGCGCCATCCAACATATGAAAACAGTGGCCAAACTCACTCTCCAATAACTTTGAAGAATCAACAAGTGTTACTCAGGACTTGCAACACAACAAAAGAAATAAAAACACAGATTAAAGTGGTCCTGATCCCAAGGCTCCTATATATTAGCATCATGTGGCTAACTCAAAAAACTAGCAAGAAAGTGTCTAAAGTCCTCAAAGTAGTCCGAATTGAAGCCAACAAAGTTGCAGTAGGTGCCTTCAAAGGCACATCAAACAAAATGATGCAGCACGACATGTACCGCTGTTTTAACAATGAGTTTTTTGAAAAAGTGTTGATCCTTGCTTCCTTGACTTGTGCTTACGGAAGTGCGTTGTCAGGATGATCAATAACATGGTCAGGGCTTATCAGCTTCTCACTCGCGTGCCGCCTTCACTGCCAATCGAGTTTTGAGAGTCGAGTCTACCTACCGTGCTTGGAGAAAATCTCGGCATCTGAAAGTCAAGGTCATTCCAGAGACTGTTGCCGAGTTTCGCCTGTCCCACTGATATGAGAGGTAGCACGAGTTCTACACCGCCCGATTGTAGACATCCCGGTTGCTACTTGACTTCATATTCTTCGCATTTTTGTGATTTAAGAGCAGATCAGGCATTCTAATGACTAAGCGAGCTTGATATTTTTCTTTCTTTTATAGAACATCCTGACCAATCACACGTAATTCTTTTGCTATCTTCATACCATACCATAATAGCATTCTGAAAATCTCATTGAAAGTTTCGGATTAATCCATCAATCCTTGCGATCGGTCAATTTCACTTGCTAACTCGCTGGTTGAGAATATAACTATCATTGAGAGACCGGTTCTCACATTTATCTTCATCGTAAGAACGCAAGTGAGTTCTTTGTGATTGTAACTTTTCGACAAAAGCCTGAGCAACTCTTTGCGGCAAAGTTTACGAAACCAAGACAAGCATGCACACGGCCCTGGTGGCATCATTGGACCAATCAGAGACCCAACAAACCAAAGATAAGATGGTCAATATATTTCCCCATCTTAAAAAACACATTTCAATAATTAAGAGATGTTGTTCCTTTTTATATAGATGATGGACAGTCATACGACATTGCTTCTAATGTGCTTGACTCTCTCAGGGCTAGTCTATCAAGTGATTTCAATCGGAACATTCATCAGGTGTTGTGACGCTAATAAGGGCCCAGAACAGCAGCTGGGATGTGTTGGCGACAATTTTCATGTTGCAAACTGTCAGGGTAAAAATGTTGAACTTTCTTGTGAGAAAGTTGATTATCTCGGTAATCAGGCAAAGTGTCCGAACGATCCGAGGAAGTACGCCTTTCCAGACAAAAGTCGATGTGAAGGCACCAAAACTCCTAGATGCGTAGACATTTCAGGACCGAATACCATTCAAGATTTACCAGTGGTACAAGAGCCAATTGGGAAGTTCATCAGATGTTGTGACGCTAATCAGGGTACGAAACGGCAATTGGGATGTGAAGGGGAAAATTTTACAAAGGCGACTTGTGGAGGTAAAGAGGTGGAATTGACTTGCATGGGTGTCGATTATATTGGAAACCAGGCTAGGTGTCCTGATGACAAAAGAAAGTTCCCCTTTCCCGAAAAGCATCAATGTAAAGATAAGAAGACACCCAGATGTGTTGATATAAGTAGTGTCACGAAGTGATCACTTAGGCACATTGTCATGACGCGTATAGACGCTATTTACTTCAAGGAGCATTGGTGATATATCTTTTCTTACACCATGACGCGACTGTTGAGCCCTTCAGATCCATATGTAGAATACCCTCTTTTGTCGGTTGTTATTATTTCTCTATATCAAACTGCCTGATCTTTTTTCTTACCAGAACTTTCACAAGCACCGGGTTATATTCCAAATGTGTATATCACAGGACATAAAATCATGTAAAATATTGAGAAAATCAATGATACAAATAGATAAACAAGAATAACAAGCAACTTCATCCAATTTGAATAACTTCTAGGTCTCATTCAACAAATTGAGAAATAAGTTCTCAACAAGCTCAAGTGGATGTCTGAATATTTTGATTGATCAACTTGCTCAAGTTTTCATCAAGTCTAGAAAAGACTTCCAAGACATCAGATTTCACGCGTGAATTGGTAACTTTTGATAAACTGGAAGCCACATTGCTGATGAAGATGAAAAGATAGATTAGTTCTGATGTTCTACCTTATATTTGATCGAATTCAAGTGAATGGGGATTGGATTAGGATGAAAATTTGATTCTTACCTGATAAAATGATTTTTCTGTTCTTCGCTCAGAGTACTCAAAAAGTGGCGAGGTTGTTCAAAGTCAATTTCTGTGACCTGATTATTTTTAAGGGGAGGTATTGTGAAGTTAGAACTATTTTCTAATCTTTCAAAAACATGTCATGAAATGACAAACCTGACTCATCGATCTCACCGCACCACCTACCCATGCAGTGTGATTTGAAACATCATATGGACTAGGTGGAAGATTGATACTTTGAAAGCTTGAAAGATAATTGGCTCTTGATCCTTGATTTCCTAAATAAGAAGCTTGCCCATCGCGTTGAAAGTTGGCTGTTCAATCAAAGTCATGTGATAAGCAACAATATCACAAGGAATCAGTGTATTGTGATTACAATAGTAAATTCTTGGAGATACTCACCAACTGGATTCATTGGACAATTGATTGGAATTTGGTTGAAGTTGGTACCAAGGCGATATCTCTTTCAGAACAAATGTATAACAGAAATGAGTGAGTCCAAAACTTCAAAGTAATTTCAGCCATGTTCAATCAGCTTACCTGTGCATCAGGGTATGCAAAGAGTCTGGCTTGAAGTACTGGGTCCGCACTTGGCTCCCAACCATCCACAAGGTTTGAAGGTGAAAAAGCAAGTTGCTCAATCTACAAAATGTTAAGAATCATAACCATTGTTGAGTTTCAAAGTTGGCATAATCTTGATGTAACACTAACTCACCTCTGCAAAATAGTTTTCTGGATTCTAAGATATCAAGAGTGTAACAAGAACAAGAAAATTGAGTGATTTAGTTATTTATCTCCTGGTCAAGAAAATGAAACCTTAATACACGCACTTGATTGAGAACAAATTCTCCAATCTCATGTGGCGGAACCATATCAACAGGCCATTCCTCTAAAGTATAACAAGATCTGTTTAGACCTATCTTGGTGTTGTAGATTCTTTCAAAGAAAACCACTCAACTGGTCACATCAAGAACATTGTATTTGAATTTTTCAGCCTCAGCTGGAGTCAAAACTTGTGCCAAAAGTTTCCATGATGGAAATTGACCCTGATCAATGCGTTGGTATAGATCCTAGATAATGAAAATGAAATGAATTAGATATGATATTTTCAAGTACCGGGTCCGGTGTAAAGAGCCTTAACTCACCTGGGTTGCATAATCAGGATTTGTGCCCGAGATGTGTGTGGCAGCAGAGGCTGTTAAGTTATGAACACCTTGTTGACTTATAGCTACAATCTTGACATATACCCAAGTTCCTTTTTAAAAAAATGTAAACCATTTCAGCTTATCGATACTTTTTCAAAGTTTAGATTGTCATGATAATCTCCTGACCATCAGCTTTTACCCATCTATAAGAATGTCCTGCCCATGCATCCATATTGACAAAACCTGTACAGAGCGGAAAAGAATGAATGAGGATTTGAGAGAGATAATTCAAGATTGTTGAGCAAACAAGATGGGTTCTTGCTTACCATCAGGAGTTCCTAGGTCAGTGAAGACTCTCACAAATTCATAAAGTGATTCTGGATGGGATCCCAAATAATCCCTATTTTAAACGTTTAAAACAGTGAACATCATGAGTACACTTTTCTCTCTTTGTTATGATAGGTGTAGAATTCCAGAACTGCTATCATGACTTACCAATACATGTTGGGGTCTTTGAGATGAGTCTGAGGATTGCGCTTCTGCGTGTGGGTAAAAAGTGGAAAGAGCGCTGGATCTCTTACTATAAGTCCAAGAATGTTTTTTCTCAGAGCTTTGTTCAAAGAATATTAATTTCATCTTTCCATTCACTCACAAAAGAAAACCGGACTATTGTTCACTTTTAATAGAAGGAGCCAATGCAAAACATTGATGTCATCAATTACCGAATGAATATATTTGACAATCTATCAAGACACTTACTGACGAGATCCCAAATCCCTTTTCCTGTTCGAAATCTGGTGTTCAAACTTTAGCGCTTCACTCAAACTCAAAAAAAACTGGCGACTTACTTGACAGCCACTCCCCTGTGTATCATAATCAAGAGTCAGAGTTGAATTATCAATGTAATTTTGTGCAAAAGAGTTCTTACCTAGGATCACGCTCTTGGTCAGACGATCCACTTTCACCAGCTATAGTCGAGAACCGAACGCTTATAGGAGTTTTCTTTCCAACTGGTAACGATAAATATCACCGAATTCGTCAGTTTAGTACATCTTTCAAGTTTTATGCTTATAGAGTATTTGATGTGAGACCAAAGGAGATGATTTTAAACGCACTTTCTGAAAAGAGGTCCATCATCGTATGATTTTTTGCAAAATCAGTCGTCACCGTAAAGACACCATGGGCTCCAGCTTAGATTATCAAAATGGAAATTAAAATGTTCCATAAGTTTGCATCAACTGTAAATATTAGAAACTCAACTGAAGTAAACATTTGATAAACTTACCTCCTTTTGCATGCACCACTCGTTCTGGAATTCTTTCACGTACAAGACTGGCCAAGTTTTCAATCAAGTGAATGTCCTGCAATAAGACCGGGCCTAATTGTACCACATTTTATCGTTCAATGTACTATAAGGACAATGCATCAAATGACTCCTAGATTAAAATCACTCACCATCCTCTCCAACTCGTTGAGTAGCAGTCGGTTGTGCATATGCTTGTCCATTTGATCGGGTATAAATCACTGAACCCGAAGGTAAAGTGGAAGTTTGAGTCTGAAGTACAAGCTGCGTTTGAAAATCTTGATGGCCCGGACCAATAGTGTGATTCGATTGATTTGGTGGATGATGTGAGGTATTGTATAACTCTGGTTGTGGCACTCCGCCTGGCCAAGCTAATCCCATCTTAGCTCCAACCCAGAAACATATCATGATCGTTGAAATGGTGATCTGCGTCATCTTTTTTTGTAAATCTCTATCTGAACGATGAAAACAAGCAAGTACTCTCTTTGCAAAAAAATTCAAAATTTTTTCTGCGAAGGTGAGGAGTCATCAAATAACATCCATTTCGATCCCTTTATATATCCTCCACTTTCATTTCAAAGGCCCTCATCGAAACTTGCTGCTCAAAACAAGGAATCCGAGGCTATGCAAACTTCCAAGAAGTCTCTAAATCAGTATTTTATAAAACTTATCACGCATTCAAAACTCGCAACTCATCTTTCCACCTTCTTACTCAAAAACTTTTCCAATCATGTCTATGATCTACACTGCGTCAAACTTTTCTCCTGATTTACGCTGTTTTCATATTACAATAATATTTTCCACATCTGAATTGTTCAAATTCGAAAACACGCTTCAAGTTTCAACTTCAGTTTGACTGCTCATCAAAACACTTTCTCCAATTTCGTATTTGATCGGTCCTCATGATTAAAATCATAGCCTTACATCCTGCGGAAGCTCTTACCAATCAATATTGACCCCCGGATCTTCCCCTGCCCCTCAAAGAAGTCTCAGATCGACTATTTAGACACCACCCCCGAGGGAGCTGTCGATGAGATCGAGGCGCAGTTGAAGGAGACCATGAACGGGATTATAGAAATACATTGAGAAAGTTGATTGATAAGTTTCAATTATTTCTTTGATGACCTCATGGTTAGAGCCTGGCGATTGATTGATAAGGCTAGAGGAACTATGCAAAGGTTACATTTTTGTAGTTGAAAATCGTAAAATCAATCGATCTAGTTCATTTATCTTGATGATTAGATGGCTGATCAAGATTTTCATTCGTTAAGCAAACACGTCTATCTACATCGTCATCTTCAATTCTTAGCTTTTGAAGGCATATAGGCGTCCAAGTTTTGTCGCAGAATACGTTTTGCTTTCGAAAGGATTACTCAAGAATTGCGTTAGTTGCAATTTATTCTTTATCGTGTGGTCACTTTCTTGTACTATGCTATTAATTCCTCTTTTAGGTTGAAGCAAAAAACCCATTTCAAAAATGTTGAAATGCAGCCTAGGGATGCTGATCAAGGTTTTCGCTGTACGCTATTGTACATGGCTTACATAGTCCGTACTAATTACCAGCTTACAGAGAAATTTACGGGCATTGCGGGAGATACTCTTGCTTTGATAATCTTGACTGGATATGGGCTACTTACTGGATATGGCCTACTTGCTTGACTCAGCCAGGGGGTTTCAGGAAGGTGAATCGATGTTCATTCAACAATTTCATATAAGAGTCTAAAGATTGTGTTAAACAGTTCAAATCAAGGTGCGGCCATCATATCTTCCTCGTTATCTTGGTTCAAAATTCGCCTGCCTTGACGTTATCGTTCACGGTTCACTCGACATTATGTAGCTGTGCATCAGTACATTGGCCATCAGTACATTGCTGAAATCACCCGCTCAAACAATGGGCCGGAATACTGTGACATAGGGAAATGGTGGGCATCGCATTAAACCCAATCAGTGTCTAATTTAGCATCCAATGCCTATTAATTAATCACAGCAATTGAACAAGATCAGCAGAATATAGGCATTCAAAGGGAACGGGCGTTGATTACAGGGAAGGAACTAACCATGATCTCATCCGGCTTCAAGTTATCAATTGCAAAACATTTGATTCCATATGCTTCAAAGTCTTGAATCAAGCTCAGAGGAAGCTCATTCTCAGGAAAGCAGTGAGGAATCTTTCGATCTCGGAGAGGGCTTGGGTGAGGGAAGCGGACATCAGATCGAGTTCGAAAAAGACATTGTCTCAAGTTGGGTAAATTTCGAAAAAGGCCCTCCTCGCGTGATGTAGTTGAAGGGTTGGAGCGTTTTCCTTTGGGAGCATGCTCGAAGAAGTGGAGCCATGAACTAAGGGTGTACTCAATAGGAAATACCAGGGTTCGTGCATGTCGAAGTATTGGCCAACAGAACCAGCCTTCATATGCGTCAAAGCTTGGTAAGTATAGACACATGGAATCCCAGGGAACAGTTGAAACTACACAGAGCCGCGGACACTCCAACAAAAGAGGGGCGCCGGGCCATTGATGACACATACTGCCAGTGAATAAGCCTTCCAAAGTATCTTTAACAGCTGTTATCACAGGTAGAAGTCCACTACCATTTTGATCAGCTGCGTAGCATTCAATGACCTTCAAGCTTGATCGTGCCTTCTCACAGATGTTGACAATCCCGCGGAGGTCTGAATAATCGTCAGGGTTAACTTCATCGTGAGTGTCTTCTATTTCCTTCGAATATTCGTAGAGGAATTCCAAATAGCGCAATTTTGTCAGAGCTGACTTTGAAAACGTCATGGAAGGTACACCAGTATATCCGATCCTTAACTCTTCAAGATCAGGGACGGCCTCTAGAAGATTGACTAGGTTTGAAGATCCCACCGGAGTATCAGACTCTACGATAAGTTCTGTGATCGATTTGGCAATCCTCACAGCATTCACTAGTGGGTTTGGACAGTTCACTGATGAGTAGAATCTCAACTTGAGTGTTTCAAGGTTCTCGCAGAATAGTCGTATCAACTCGGTAGCCTCGTGGATAGACACATGTGGGTTGCTGGCCAAGCGCTGCTGGTTCTCTCGAGGATCAACTTCATTGGCTTCTCCTACTGCTATTTCCCCCCCGGTGCGATACAAATCAAAAACCGGACTCTGTCAGAATTTGTTGACTGTAGACTTTTGAGTCAGGAATAACCAAGATGTAAGGGATGCGGCATTCTTGCCTTTGTCAGGTTTTTCGTTTGCTTTTGCGATGATGTCCTCAACCAAATTGACCAGTTCAAGTCGACGAACAGGAAAGTGCCGAGGTGGAGAGTCAGGAATGTAAGAAAAGATTGTATTCCAATCCTGAAGGAAATTTTGTGCTTGAATGGTGTTCGTAATACGGATCGACGAGAAAGCAATTGGTAGGGCGATATCTGACCAAGATTTACAAACTAAACGAAGGTCGAAAAGAGGCTGATAATTGGGATGTCGGAACGCTCTTCCATCTACTTCAAGTTGGCTTTCACACAGAGTGAAAATCTGGGCCAAGATTTCAGCGGGAAGAGACTTGAAAGCAGTCTTTGAGAGACTATTGTCTGGCGCGCTCGACATGGTCCAGAAGGTGGTGTCTGTCTAGGAAATGTGGGTGAAGTTATATTTATGGAGTAGAAACAAGCTCAGCAGACATAAAAGAGGCGACAAGGAAAGACGGGATGAGGAAGCCAACAAGATGCTTATCAAGCCCCGTGCGGTCGGATTGGGACCGGAAGAGCAACTCTACGGTCCATTACGGGCGGTGGAAGAGACTGCCGGAGCACACGTCGCACGGGGTCAGATCACCGTGCCTGAAGGACGGCGGCTGACTAACTCGGGGTCGGCCCAAAGTTTAAAAATGTGGCGCAGAGCAGATTTCTCCTCCTACTATGGTGTACGTGTAGACTCATACTGACATATAAACATGACATGGGTAAAACATGTAATTTTTCCATGTCATGTTTGGTCGAAATTCATCCCCAAGCCAAATACCGTACGACACGACTCATACTGACACACATCGACATGGATTTTTGATTTACAAATCCCGTGTCGTAACATGAGTCATCTTGTACATCGTACCGTCCAGGAAGTGTCATACTGACACAACATGACACCAAATGTAAATTTCTCCAGAATATTGCGTTCGGATCGGACTATCCAATAATTGAACTCCATCAATTTCATTCAACTTTTCCACTTCACCCCACAGCCTCTTGACAACGTCCTTTTATCTCCTTCAACTCCTCATCTCCATTTCTCAGTGGTCTATTTTTTAATTTCATTGCAGATTTTTATTATACTTTCCTCTGATGTGACAGATGATTTGCCTACTTCATAATGGCTATGGGTGGTGTTGAGATTGAGTGATGACTACAACATTAAGATTGAATGTCCAATCCAATCATTCTCAATTGTTATATGATGTCAATATACACTTTACCAAATGGCAAAAGAGTCAACAACAGATCATTATGGTTTATGTCAAGCTTTTTGATTGACTGTTTGGTAAAGCGTAGAACCAACTCTAGCTTTTTGGATCTGCCCCTTAAAAAAGCAGTGGATCAAAAAAGTGTTTTTGTGTAACACTTTTTGGCAAGAGTTCCAAAAGGGCCCTTATCTAGGGCCCCATCTTCTTTTGCAAAGGTAATTATAAATTAGAACAAGTGCAAAGTGAATTACAAGTTAGAACTAGGGAAATAAATCAAGAAACAATTTGAGGAGAGAAACAATAATAAACATCTAAAAATGACGCAGACTTCTTGTTCATGTTCTATACTTCTCCTTATCACTGATCCACAGAAAAATCTCATCAGTTAAAGATTCCTTATAGTCAGATAGCCACCCACTTTCAGTGTCCATCCCACACTTGGATCATGATAATTAGGCTTGCGTAAGGTCTGCGTCGGACCCTACCCACAAGAATCTGGTGCGTGAAGCCAACCCAGTCTTGGGGAGGACAGGTACAGTTGAACCTCAGCAGTGACCGTGAATCATCATGATCCAAAACCAATTTGATAGAGGAATGGAGATCAAGTAGTTCCGCATTCACATAGTGAAGAATGAACATGCAAGATCTGATTCCATCCTCTATCAAATTGGCCTGTGAGACTTCTGCGTGTACTGGTATCTGACCATCATGGAAGAAAGAATTAAGTTTTATCCCACATCATCATTGTGATTTAAATGGATAAATCTAAAGATAAAAAAGTTGCATTACTTTGAAGAAATTGAAATGAATTGTTTTGAATTTAATAAATGAGATGGCTTGTTTTGATTGTTTTGATTAGAAACTAAAGATTCAGTGTAATTTGGTTTGATTGAATGATGAACAGTTGAGATGATTGAGTTTAGGTGAATCAGATGGAGACAATCGATTTTGATTGGATCAGATGGAGTCTGGAAATGATCAATATCGATTGGATCCGATGAAAGCAATCGATTTCAATTGAATCGGATGAAAACAATCGATTTCGATTGAATCGGATGAAAACGATTGATTTTGATTGAATCGGATGAAAGCGATTGACTTTGATTGAATCAGATGGAGATTGTTTTTGTGCCTAATCACAAAAAAATGTTAAACCATTGTTAGCTAAGAAATAACAAATGGATTGAAAGGGGGTGGACTGAGAAGAGGAATCTAAACCTGAGAAAGAGAACAGTCCAATAATTGAACAGAAAAGAAAGTGACTTTTGATGGAAACTTGATGAGTTCCAAGTTTAATATTGTGAGTACTTCAAAGATAGAAGGAGTTGAAATACTTACTCAAAGAAACAAAAGTGAAGGAGGGAATGTTTGAGTTGGTAGGTGGGAACGGTTGACTATGTACCGGTGGTGAATCGGGTAAAGCTATTAGATGCAAGATGGTGTCATGTTTTTGTCAGTATGGCACTTCTCGGCCATCAGACCGTCCGCCATGACTCATGTTATGACACGGTTTTTTTAAATCAAAAATCCATGTCAATGTGTGTCAGTATGAGTCGTGTCGTATGGTATTTGGCTCGGGGATGAATTTCAACCAAACATGACATGGAAAAATTACATGTTTTACCCATGTCATGTTTATATGTCAGTATGAGTCTACACGTACACCATATCCTACATCCCCTTTTCATTGTTGCTCAACAGTCTCTTTTGCTCCTCACTCTTGAGCACTATTCAGCTCTTGAGTCTTTCTCTCCCACCCACCTCCCGGGGAAGAGAAGCCCCCTCCTTGTTGTTTTTCTCACTTCACAGAAGGCGGGATTTTGTTAAAAGGCTTTGATTTTGGCCTTTTCCGCCCTCCCTGGGGGTAACCCACACCACTCCTGCTACTTGTCCGGATATGTTGGATAGGTTCTAGGGGTTGGTTACAATTTCGGAGTATACTAATAGATCCTCCCCAAGTAATCCACCCTCTGATGAAGCGTGTAGCTAGAAATAGCAACTTATACGCTCACCACAGCTCAGCCTCCATCCTATCTCTACTGTCTGAGTGATGAATCATACAGTGCCACACTTTCTTAGCTTAAAAAGCTACTTGTCCCGGTCGATTCAACAACTCAGTATGGCTATCACTGTTGCCCCATGCCATAAGCAACTTTATTTTTCCCCTGTGACTCCGGTTGACACTATGATAGGGGATTAGGGTGGGGGATCAGATACCTGAACCTTGCAAGAAATTCCCTGCCAATCTGCTCAAGTTTTGTGGTCAAATTGAGCAAGCATTTGTAAATTGACTGTATCTTGAATGAAAACTTCTCATAAACAACAAGACATAGTCAAAAGAAAAGAAGAAGGATTATTTGACACCCAATATGAAAACAGACTCTGTTGCTTCAACTAGATGACCAGTTCTCTGAGGTAAACTAGTCCTTCTCTTTTTTGACTTCTTTAGTAAGTGTTGTATGCAATAAAAGCCATTAATCACTTGAAAATAATGATATGATGGCGGTCAAATTGGACAAAACAACAAATATGCAAAAATCACAATGAAACACCCCCTGAAAGCCCCGTTGAGCATATCCCAAGCTCAAGTCCATTGCTACAATCACCAAAATCACACTTGAGTTTTGTTTGTTTTCACTCAATATTGTTTGTTTGTTCATCTGTCTTCTCACATCCATTTGCAAATCATTTTTCTTCCATCAGTCTGTGGCAAATTTTGCATCCCCAGATCATAGTAAATCATTGGCTTTGGTAACCTTTTTATAGGAATTAGTCTCAGTCCACTCATGACCTACACACATTGGATTTGAAGAGCTGTGATGTTCTATAATATCCAATCTTATCCAATATTCTCTTCCAGAGACATCATTATTTATATTGTTTGTTCAGTAAATAAAACAGTGTGATTCAAGACAACAATTTTTGTTGTCGCACAATTGATTTGTCACAACTGATCAGGAGATCTACAGTAATTGCTTAAAGATCTGTGTTTATTGGGATGGTGTTAGGATAGTATTTACAATGATCTAAGACAGCAATTTCCTGTTTCACACATGTGTTGATTCACCACATCTAATGGAGCAATCTCCGTTGATTATCCTCACAAATTGTATTAATAGTTTTATTGGTTGTAATCAATTTTGATGAATCAATTAAAGAAGCACAAGAAGTACATATTCAATCTTATAAAAGTTGAAGATTTGTTTGAATCATGAGAAATCAATAAGAAAGAATATACATTTTTTTTGCTCAAGCATAGGTCTAAATCACAGGGCTTCTGTACTACTCTAGTCACCAACCTTGAGTGTCAGAGTCTTTCCAACACATGAGCAAACTGTCAGAATATATGTTCTATGCTCGGCTCATGTGTATCACTCTTTGACAGTCAGGCCCAAAAGACATTACAAGGATACCTTGCAGTCCCCTGAGCAATGTCCTTGGAGAAGATGAAGAACAGACACCCTGAGCTTTCACCTGTACAATTGACCATTGTTTTATGAGTAAGGAGATATCAATTTGATTGTAAAGATTGATTAAAGAAGCTTTTTGAAAAGTTTACACAGAAATGAGTCATCTTCCATCCCCAGATACAAGGCGGGTTTCTTCATTTTGTCATACAATGCCAAATTTGATCAAAAATCATGGGTTCTTTCTTACTTGTCTTATATAACTTTTCTTAAACTCTTCAGATATGTTTAAAGATTTTTTTTGCATATTATGACGTCAATGATTCTGTGTCAATTGAAATTCAAGGGAAATGAAGGGTTTTGAAGTACAAGTGATTCTTCTGAGGTAGGTGGATATTTATTATGCTGAACGCTCAACGTTGGCGCTTCTGAATTTCTTGATTCACAAGAGATCTTTTCGAAATCAATAAGATTCAATGATGAATGTTCAACGTTGCTTTTACTGGATTTCTTGATACAATTTTTTTGCGGTTGAGACAAGCTTAGAGAAACACAGACTACAAAAGACTACCTATAAGGAATATTAGGTAGGGAATATCAAGAGATTTGTATTGAAGACTTAATCACCACTCTAGATCACAGAATAGAATCATAATCATAGAACAAAAAAAGATACAAGGAGTAATAACATAATTGTTGCAGTGACCATAAAAAGTGAAAGTTCAAGGTAAGCGTGTAATACGGCCTGCCCCATACGTTCCAAAAAAAGAAGACACACCTTTCTCCACGACAAACTTTCACCATGAAAAAGAAGCCAAACAATCTCTTGCTCCACGCGGTATCTCACCCACTGAACAACAATAAAAATCAATGACAAGTTATGAAAATGAGCAAACACCAATCCATTCCATAAACCAAACCAAACCAAGCCCGTACATGTTCCTCAAACTTTAACCACCTCAAGCTTCTTAACCACTATCACCAGAACCGGAACCAGAGACCGGGAGGACTGTCCCGATCTCTTGTTCCAACTCGAATATCGGAACGGGATTTAGAAGAAGAGTTTGGTAAAGAAACTTTAGGTAGTTTGAGGAAACCGGATGGGTATGGTTTGGGCTATGATGATAATTGGTATTCATTTTTGAGAAACTTCACTAGCTTTTTGGTGTTGTTGAGTGGGAAAGAGACCAGGTGGAGCACGAGGAAGTCTTTCTTCTTCACATAGAAATCGATCGTCTCGTTTCGTCGTCGTCGTCGAAGAGTAGGAGAAAACAAATAAAAGGTGAAGGTCGAATGATGATGAGCGAATGAGAGATGATGAAGTCGGAAGAAGTCTTAATCCCATGAGTATTTAATATTTATATCCATCAGCACCAGTCAAAGTTTCTCGTCAAACGAAGCTTTTTACATTTCCCCTTTGTATTTTCCTTTTTTGGTTTATCAAACAAAACATCCAAGCAGCCAAGCATAAAGAGATATCCCTCGAGTTTGACTATACCCATCCAAAAAGCAAAAGATCAAACCCGATCGACCTGACTTTTGTTTGACTTATTACCATATATACTACGAGGTATGAACAATCAAACAATAGATAATAAGTTTTGAAAGTCTTTAAACAAATCTCGTGCATGATCTAATCCAGACACCATACTTGCCTACACATATAAGGTAATAAGTGATCGAAAAACCCATGTACGGCCACCGCTTTGTAGTCCAGATCCGTCAAATATATCATACCTTCTGATCAACACTGCTAAAAATTCCATTCACAAGGCAAAAATCTTTTCGAAAACAGCTCCACAGCAGAAAAGTCAACCTGTTCGAGGCTATTGTTCATGCTCACCAACCCCGGAGGTTCAGTCATAAGCCGCTCTTCAAGACCGGAGATGGCCTCGTCAAAAGAAGAGTTCGTTCAAGCTCAGGGCTTTCAAGTGGTGTTTTTTTCATCCATACGAGATTTTCCCATTTTCACCTTTTCACATTTCGACAGTATGACGCATTTGTCATTCCTCAGTCACTCAATCTTCCATGCCTTCATTTCAAAGGTTTGTTTTTCTATACCAAGTTCCATTACAATAAGACTCCACAAAAGACAAAATGAAGGAGAAAACAAAAGGTTTAAACGTTTATACAATTCATCTGAATGTTCTTCAAGTGATACAAGACAAAAAAAAACAGATCAGATGTTCAACTTTAGAGTCAGAAAGTATTAAGAAGTACCGATCCATTTGAATGATAAAAGGTCTTGAGAAAGTGATGGTAGATACTTCAATAGAAATGCAGCATGCTAAGGTGAAAGATGAGATGGGAAAGGAAAGGAATGATTAAATGGTTCGAATGAAAGATAGGATGGTATGAAGATTACGAAGAAGACGAAGAGCCATGAAAGAAACGATTAGATCCCAATCCAAAGAAAAGATAATAGAGTGAATGAATGAAGAGTTTCAAAAACTCAAACAGGAAGTTCGATCGGACATGAAACTCCATTAAGTTGAGTACTATCACCTCTTGCACCTGGGATCCCAAGCATATCAAAGGAGATGACCAAAGATAACTGTAAAGCAGGTCTAGTGACTGTCCCATTAACTTTAGAAGCTTCAACATTCACACAAGCTTGATGCCAAGCTTGCCATAGAGCATCAGTCTGAGCACCAGCCCTAACGAAACCCACAAAAATTTGAGCAAATCTGAACCTCATTTACAAAACCTCAAGGAATGATGTCACTCACGTGTATGAGAATTGAACATCCATATCAAGAGATGTTAAAGCAGAAGTCCCGACTGTAAAGGCTTTATCCAACCCACCTTTCCCGACCAAAATACTTTCAGAAGTCGAACCAAGATCATTAATAAACACTCGAAAGCTTCGGATCCTGGCTGGTATATAAGAAGATCTACCATCTAGAGCCATACTGAGCCGAGCATCAAATGAAAAGCCAGTAGGTTTAGAAGGATTAAAGATTGCTGAAGTACTGTTGCCTTTGAAACTGATCGGTTTATCGAATGAGATGGCCGGTTGACGAGGAATTACAAAGTAAATTGCGATTCCTAGACTATAATTTAACAGAAAAGATTCGATTAAGGATTGGGATCAGAAAGTTTGGATTTAGAGGTTGAGGAAATCACGTACCAAGCTAAAACTATAAAAGCAATCACTGCACCTAGTCTCCAACCCCATCTTTTTCTTAAAGATTTAGTTTGTTTTGAATTCCGTTTTGAATGACGATTAGATGATAAAAGTTTAGAATTCGAACTAGTTTGTTGTTTTGAATCGTTGGCTAAGATGAATTTTTCTTTTGGTATTTCTAATTTATTATCTTCTGATGTTGGATAAGTGGTGTTGAGAGGTTCTTCTGGACTTTCGACTATATTAACGTACCTAACTCCTGCATTATTGAAATCTATCATTTCCATTCCCAAACCCAAAGTAAGTCAAAGGTACCGTAAAGTATAAAGTAGAATCGGTTTACCTTTATAAACATCGTAGTTTGAAGCAGGATCACCTTCTTCTTCTTCATCATCATCTTCTTCTTGGTTATGGTCGTATTGTTGAGTATTTTGGAATGGTTGAGATAAGGGTTGGGTAGGATTTGATCTGCTTGGACGGGCGGCATTGGGACTGAAGGATCGGTGAGGGGTTTGGTGAAGGACTGGTGATCTGGTTTGGTTTGAGTGTTCCATTGAGATGATTGGATAGATTGATGAAGTGATAGGTAATAAGTTATGGATGTAGATGAGTTTTGAAGAAATCGATTTGATTCAAGCTGATCCGAAGACTTCCCCCCGTCTTATAAGTTGGGACCGTGGCTGTGCTCGAGTATTTGACGCGAAAGATGGATTGCAACTTCAAGACAACTTTACTGGCCCATCAATCTAAATAATTTTTCAGTCTTGTCTTGGTGTTTGATGAATTTAGAATCGAAAGAAAAGAACAAGAAGTTGAAGTTGAAGTTAAACAAGATCACAAAGACTAAAATTAGACTAGAATTCTACACTAACATCATGAGTGAATGGAAATGAGAATGAGAAAGAGATGAAACAAAACATGAGAAAGTAAAAGAACCCCAATGAACTTTGAATCGAATCTAGAACTATTCCAGAGCAGGATACTCACTAAACCATTTTATCAACTTATTCCTTTGAATGAAATCGATCGATAGAAGAAATGATAAAAGTTGAAGAAGAAGTTGAAGTTGAAAGTGATTTTAAATTATATTTGATTGAAACTGAATCGATTAGATCGATTTGGATTAAAGAAACACCTAATCAACTACAATTACTTCGAAGTGAATTGGTTCCAATCTCAAGTTTAACAAATCATCAAGAAGAAGAAGAGGTTCAAGTTAAAGAAGCCAGCCTATCATCATCATCATCATCATCAGTCTTATCCGTTCTGATCAATAATCATCAAATCATTCAAATCAAAATATCAACTTCTAATTTGCAATTGGTCAATCTAATCAATCTACCAAGTACAACTAATCATGAAGCAATCAATACCATCTCATCAACACCAACCAATCTAATATTTTCATCAAATTCAAATTCTTATCAATTTCAATCCAATACCAATACAATCCATCAACTCGAAAACAATCTAGGACATCATCATTCTACCATCCAACACTTAACCATCACTCAAGATCCAACCTTAATCATCTCATCCTCACTCCAAAACGGTGTGATAGTCTATGATCAACTCAACCAATCCAACCACAAACTCAACATAAAATCTAAATCAAACATCACTTCAATCTCAATCTCGAGTTTTTCTTCTAAACTATTCACTATCAACTTAGAATCTAAGATCTTATTGTTTGATTTGAATTTACATCTTACTAAACCGATCACTGCATTCAAATTAAATTCATTAAATCAAAAACACCCTCAACCTATTTTGATTAACGCACATTTTTCTAATTTGAATTCAAACTTGATTATCTTTTTAAATCAAGTAGGACAAATCGGACTAGGTGATCTAACTCACCACAACGTAAGTCATTCAAAACCCAACCCAAACCCAAATCTCTAACCTAATCTAATTCCCCCATTTCTTTCTTATTTTTGGTCCCCCCGGAAAAGTTGATTTCTCAAATGGATTTCCGACTTGATCAAAAAGAAATTATTAAACTTTCGAGTTTTAGTTCGAATGGAAAAACGTTGGTTTGTTTAACAAATCAAGGAAACTTGATATCAAAAGACTTGAAAACATCATCTCAAACCCATTTATTAAACTTATCGTTCAACGAGACTCGGGCTTGTTTAAGATTACTTTTTCAACCTGATTTTAATGCTTTGGATCCCATTGATCTTAACACTAAACCTAGATCAAGACTGAAACCCTCAAGTCAAAATCAAGTAACACCTAAAGATCTTAAAACTGAAACCCAAGGTGTTCAGCATGACCATGATTACCATTCATCATCATCTATTTCTACACTTCTTTCTCCTCAACTTAAACCGATCTCTTCTAAACCTAAATCTAAAAAAGAGTTCGAATTAGGTATTCGATCTGAAGCTAGAGTATCTACTTTGGTTTCTAAACTTGATGTTGATGAACCATTCAATACAAACTCGAACCAAAACCGAAAAGAAAACCAAAACCAAAAAGAAAACCAAAACCAAAACCAAACGCAAACGCAAAAAGAAAACCAAAACCAAGACCAAAAAGAAAGAGGTATGGTAAATGTTTCAGTCAAAGAGCTAGAAAGCATCATAGACAGGTGTGTGAAAAGATCCATCGATGACTATCAAGTAATGTAAGCTTTTTCTCAAAAATCCACAAAAGGAATGTTGATTTGAAAAAATCACAAACTAAAGGAATGTTAATTTGATGGTTTTTTTTGGAAATTGATAGGATGTGGGAAAAGTTTGAGGAATTGAAGTTGGAGGCTTTGAGACAGGGGTTTAGGACTCGTGAGGAGATTGGTGAACGGTTGGATCGCTTGGATTGCTTGGGAGGGGGTGGTTTGAGGGGGACGGGTGGGTTGAGGGGGTCTTCGGGGGTTCCTTTTACGAGTTCTGGTTCTTTGGATCCTCATTAAGTTGAACCAACGAAAAAAGTGGATTCGATTCGATTCAGAGAATGGATTTGATTCGGTTCAAAAAAATCAAATTGATTAGGTTTGTTTCGGTTTGTTTCTTATTTGAAAAAAATCAAATCGTTGAATTCTTTTTTCAATAAAAAGCTTTCAAAATTACTCGTACTGTAAAATAGATTTTGTACTTTTCTTTTTCTTTTTGGTCAAGTTTAGTTTTTTGGGTTAAAAGTATTCATATTTCAAAAACCAAAGAAACTCAAACCCAAGATTTGGTCATTGTCAGTTTTCTTTGTATGTTTTTTTTCTGTTTTTTACAAAAGCAAGGTTAATATTTCTTGAGGTTGATGGTATGTTTGATTGAGTAAAAGTTTTGGTTTGGTTTGTCTGAGTTGATTGGTTGCAGAGAAAATCAGAAACCAGAGGTCTGGTCTTTGAATTGGTGATGTACAAAATACTAAAGCTGGATGTGTGTTGTGCCACTGCCATAAAGGGTGAGCAGATTACCAAGTGAAAGTCTATGGTGACCTAAAGTACAATGAGTTCCTCACACTATCCTTTATCTTTTGAAACATTCAGTTAAAGAATATCAAGCCAATAGATATCATGGACTGCAATGCCAACAACAACTTTTTTGTATCTGTCCTTATGATCTAGAGGATTAGCTCTCTTTTGGAAAATCGCGTAGGTAATAAGTTGGTAAGTTTTGTGTTGAGAATCAGATGGATGAATCACATTTTGTTAGATTCACATTGTGTGCTCACAAAGGATCCAGCTCAGGCTTTTGCTCAGGGTCTTGAGTCTTGAGTCTTGACGTGGCGTGCTGCTATTTTAGTGTACCGTGTTTCTGACATGACTTGATGCGTGAAGAGTGTCGAAATCGGGCCTTAAATCAAGTGTTTTGAGTTTAATTTAATAGGTTTGGGACTTGAATATCATTTGATTAATCTTGTTCCTCATTCGATAAAAAAAACCAACAGACCATTTCGAATTACAACAAAGAGAATTTCTTAATCAAGAACAAGAAGATGCCACCTAAAAAGAAAATTCAAACTACCAAGAACGATACTAGGTCAATTAAAGATTACTTCAAAAAACCTACCAACTTACCAAAAGAAACAGATTCATCAAAAGATAAATCAAGTTTTAGTATTATTATTCCATCCATTTCAGATATCGATGGGAGTCCTGCTACTAGATTAAGATCACGTCAACAAGAAGAAATCTCAAGTAAAAAACCATCATCAAGTATTCAGACGCGTGCTTCATCTCATCCACCTTCACCTACTAAACCCAAAACAGCTCAATCTAAGAAGAAATCACCTTCTAAGTTAACTCCAAACAAACCTGTCGGATCCATGAATCAAACAGACGAAACCAATTCTAAGCTTTTGGATTCTGAACGTCGTCTGACTCGTTCTTCTACAAAACCGGTCGAAGAAGCTAATTCGCCTACTAAGAGGTCGACTAGATCTTCAACTCGAGTCTCTGATATGGACGCTTCATCTGCATCACCAGCCAAAAGACGTGTGTCAGAAGTGGCGCAGGAAGCCAAGGACAAACGTCAAAGTGAAATCGCCACAAGAAAGTCATCTTTGACCCCACTCCAGACGTGTTCACCAGTCACGAGAACAACCGAGATCAATATTAATGACGATATCATTCCTTCTTCACCTTTAACCGAACTCGATGAACCACTTGAAACAGGAGGAAGCAAGGCTTTCTTTCCTGGTACTTTACCCCCATCTGGACCCCAAACTAGTCAATCGGGTCTCAGCTCACCGACCTCACCTACCACGCCGCCACCCTCTGTGACCCCGGTGATGCAAGTCACTGCACCAACGACAAGCTTATCAGATGATGATGAGCTCGAAGACCCTGATTTACTTTTCCTTAGCCGAGTTGAACAAAACTTACAAGATTCGCCACGTCGAACGCAGAAGAAAACGCCGGTGAATAGTCTAGCCAGTTCGAAGCCATTGAAAAAATCCACTAGGATCGTACCATCGCGTCCGATTTATAATCCTCAGATCCATGCATCTATGAGTGTTCAACGTACATCAGTTCATTCACTTGAATCGATGATCAAATCCGTCAAAGCAGCCGAAAAACGAAGCAAGTCGTTCAAACGGAGTCATGAAGAATACCTTCGATTGGGATGTGATCAATTAGAGATTCCAGAAGAATTACCCGAAAGGTTTTCCAAGATGAATGATAATCTATTAAAACCTTCGAATGGTATTGAAACGGATGAAGCTGAAACTAGTTTGATGGAATTGGATGATGAAGAACTTGAAGAGATCAGTAAAGAAGATGTCGAAAAGATCGGAGTCTTACCGATGATTCTGGAAGATGATCAGTCTCATGGACAGACAAAGAAGGCTCAAAACGAAAGGTATCGAAAGTTGAAGGAATCTTTGTTGAAAGATGTAGATAAAGGAAAGCAATCCAAAAAGTTGGAAGAAGATCGAAAATCGCGTTCTATCTTTGTTGAGAATCGATTCTCGTCTGATTCTATTCAACCTGATCTTGTTACTCATCAAATCAATTTGTCACTTAAGGATGAGGTATCGCGGCTTCATGAAGCGGACTATGATGTAGACATGATGATCCAGGTCGAAAAGGCAGTTTTGGAAGAGATGATTGATTATTTGAATTGTAAGCATTGTTCTTACTTTTTTGATTCACGTTGAGCTAATACTCATCTCGATATCACCCCTTCGTGTTTTATCAGACGGATGGACGCATCCCGACGCGGTTCCAGTCGATCTTTTCTCTTTCCTACCATCATCATTGATGCAACCATCCGCCGAATCTCCAACCCAACGTCTCATCCTCGAACTACTTTTTCGAATTATCTCAAACCCAGCATGTCCAGTGGAGTTATCTTACAAATGTTTGATCAACTTTTCTAAAGCTTGTGAGATCTTCAAGGTCAAGATGGATAAGGATTGGCAAAGCATGATACGATCTAGCTTTTTAAGTTTGGGTATTAAGTCTCAGTACTTGAAGTTTTCGACTGACGAAATGGAAGAGGATCTTAGCGATTCAAACACCATTGCTCCATTGAAAGAAACCCTTCATACTCTTAGATCGGTCCTTCAAGTGGTTGAGATCTTACTCAGCTCTGGGTGCTTCAGTACCGATATGTAAGCAATCTTGTTATCTTTGAACACGCGCAACAAACTGATGTAGACCGCATCACTCATTGTTTTTCTATAGAGCTCAAAGATGGATTCTTCTCATCATCTTTCGTCTTACGATCGATCCACATACGAGTGAATTAAGTCAAGATCTTTCTAGAATCATATTACGATTACTTTCTTTACCAGTTTCGAATTCGACGGCCACTTTGCTACTTGAAAACTTCATTGAGATTGGAAAAGGATTAAAGAGTTGGAAGAGTCGAATGGAATTCGTTAAGAGGATGCCAAACGAGTTGGAGTTTAGGAAATGGGGTGCGATGGTCATGATTGATTTGGTGGAAGAAAATGATTTAGAGATGGTCAAACGATCGATTAGTTATATTGTCAAGGTGAGTTTTTTATAGTTTCCAATAAGTTGAAATCGCAACCTCACACGAAGTCATTGGATTGGTTTTTCCCTAGCGTTCACGTGCATTTACTGTTGCTCCATCAGCTAGAGAATTATACAATTTAGTGATAGATGGACATCCAAAGTATAGTGAATTATCCATGAAATCAGAAGAAGAAAGCTATGAAGCGAGTTATAAATTAAGAAAGATCTTTCAAAGAACAACAGAAGATTTGATTGAAGATGAAGAGATGGGAGAAGTGATTGGATTGATGAGGTTTGGCTTACATGGTTTATGGGATTATCTTTGTGATGAATCACATAAGAAAGAGATTAAGATTAAGTTGAAGGATGGAGAGAATATTAAGGGAAATCTTTGGATTATGAAACTTTGGGATGGATTAAAGGAATATGAAACATCAATTAGTTTGTAGAGTTTTGTTTTTTCGATTCAAAAAAACGGTTAATTGATTGATTGATTTTTGTTTTTTTTGGGGGGGGGGTTAGATACTATGGGATATGGAGATGAAAAGATACAAGAAAGGTTACGGTTAAAGAATTTGGTAACTGGTTTGATGATGATGATCAAATTTCAAGATGAAGAAGCTGTTCAACAAGTTAAAAGTAAGGATGTCATTCATTTAAATTGATTGTGTAGAGAGATTGAAGAATATTGATTTCTTGGGGAACAAAATTGGTTTGGTTTTTAGATATTTATAGAGATGGTCAAATGAAATTAGATCGATTTGTTTTACGAAAATAAAATGATCTTGGAAGGGATTAGTTGGAGACATGAAGGGTTTGATTTCTTGAGAAATATCAAGGTTTAGTATATATATATATATATCGGATCTCGTATATCATTCAATATATATATATATAAATCATCGTAATGAAACAAAAAGTTGTAAGGTTTTGATTTTTTCTATATAAGTTTTTTTGTATTGATTATTTACAAAAACTAAAGGTTTTTTTATACAATTTTATATACTTGATTTGAAATTGTATGCATCCTTTTTTTTCTGTCTTTTTTTCCTCTTTTTGATTTGTTTTCTGTTTTTGTTTTCTGTTTTTGTTTTGTATGATGAATTTGTTGAAGAATTATATTTGAGATTAGTGTTATTTTTTTGTTTTGAAGAGAAGGAAGATTTGGGAGAATGAATGAGTTTTTGATGGTGGGTTCTGATTGGTTTTTGGGGGGTTTGATTGTTTTTTGGGGGTATTGGGAAAGTGATGGAATGACCATAATTTTTTGTGATGATGTCTTTTTTAGAAAGACAAGTTGACATCTGATACTCTGCCACAAGGTTGTGAATCTGATGGCATATGTAGTGTGGTTAAGTTGATTGAGTTCTGTAATCCCTACTTGAAGGTATTGAAGTTGAAGTAAAATTGTTTGTTTGGATGAGGCTTGCTTTGGGAATTATATGATGAGAGCTTGTTAAGCTCTTTATTCCTTTAGTATAATATAGTACATCAGGTGAGTTCATCATGAAAACTTTAAGCAACACAAACTAAGCACAACTTTCCTGAACAACTTGGGATTTATATGTGAGCATTTTCTATTCAAGTAGCTCTGCAGGCCATACACCCAAAAACGTAAGACGCTTGACAAAACATAGATATTCATAGATAATTGAATCAAAATACCCGTGTTTTAAACCACAACTTTCAATTTCTACTTAGGTCTAAAACTCATATATCAAAGAGATGAATACTTCATTCCACTTTTGCTCGGGATAGATTCTCTTTCTCTGCCCACTCTCTAGCATCTAAAACCCCGCGTTCAACATCAACATTCACCCAAATAATAATACTTGCAAGTAAACAGAGTGGGAAAAGGAATGCGAATCCTATTCGAAGACAAAAGAAGTTTAAGTGAGTTTATAAAGGTCTTGAGAAGAGAATGTTAGTAAAAGAAATTTCACCTGTATGAGTTGAATGAGTATGATCAATTATGGCTTGGACTACATTTGGACCTATGATTGAGGATGCTCGATTTGAAAATCCAAAGAGACTAAAGAACTGATCAACAAGAAAGAATCCATTGATTAGTTTAGGTTGAGCAGGAAAAGAAAGATTAGATTTACACACCATGTTCTCACATCCAGGTGGAGAAAGTTCAGCCATCAGGGTCCTATTTGATGAATAATAGAATGTCAAATTATTGAACAAAATCACTCTTATACTTTTGGTTAAGAAAGCAGAAGCATAAGATGAGCAATGACTGAACTGTGAGTAAGCGTAGTAAGGCGCTTGGAAGAATCCAAAGATGACATTATAGACCCAAAATTCCCAACTAAATGGAATATATTAATCTATCAGATTAAGATCACTATCATCAAATCTAGATCATAGAAGGATGATTCTGACCGATGATGAAAACCAATCTTGTTAGTCCAAATTCCAATCATTCCCCAAGCTGGAATCATCGCAGTGACCACATTTGTGATGACGAACTATTGAGATTTGAATTTGATCAAAAAGATGATATCAGATCCTTCCTTCAAAGTAGTGGACAAGTCGGGATCTTACCATTGTCTTCGTACGAAATTTCCAACGCTTTTGAATTAGGTAGAATCCACCAGTGGAGATAATTGAGGTGATAGCTTGAGTCATGTTGATATACTAAGGAATTTGAGTGTATACAAGCGGACAATCAGCAATGTTAGATAGACGAAATCTAAAACAAGCTGGGGCGTATAACAAACCGTAGAGGCCAAAAAGCTAAACTCGAATTGATTTCCTCCAATGATCGAGATCACAGTTCCTGTGGTGTTGAGACTAATTATAAACCGAGAAAACATTAACATCGAGTGAGGAGTCCGATCAAGAAATTCACTATCTTTACTTACCCATCAGCCAGTAAGAAGAATGCGATTAGATAGATGAATGTGATAGGCAATTTTTTGGCTTGTCGGATAGCTCTTAACAGATCGTGCCAACTGACAGTCCAATAACTTGAACGAGGTGGAAGTGCAGGACCTGGTCGTGGGTTTTGAAAAATAAACCACCAAATGCCCAAGACGACCCAGTAAGAATTCGTCTAGATTGTATGATTTCATAAGATCATGTCAGCCAACATCTTTATGAGAGATTTCCGATTCAAAGGTAGTGTAAGTTGGAAAAAACTGACCAAGACTATGGTATATGTGTCAACTAATTTCTTGCCATCAAGAGGGATTAGTACTGCGAGATTGATGATGATTATAAAGAGGTAGCCCAGGTTAGAGTGCAAGGTGGATATATTCGAGATTCGATTACGTTCCAAACTAAGTTCGATTTCGAGCTCATCAGCAGTGAGAGAACTGGATCGTTGTAAAGCTGCCTTTGCTCGTGGGGTATGACGAGCTAGTCTAGGGAAAGCAGCTGCATAAAAGACAAGGGTAGCACCATCTATGATGAGGTGTGTTTTGTCAGAGAACTCGAATCAAAACCTTCCAGACAGGATGATCGAGAAGGGAGACAAACAGGTAACAAAACCGATCATGTAAAGTGCCATTGCCCATCTCCACCTGGAAGGGTCTTCATTGAGCGCCAAGGTACAGTACTGACTAGCCCAACATATAAGGGTAAGTATCAAGAGAAGATATCGACCGAATGATCCATAATCAGCTGCTCCACCTAAAGTGGTAAACATAACAGTCATTATCTAGCAGTTTTTTCAGACAAAGTTCATTCAGAGCCAGTCAATATCTGGGCAAAGTTTGGAGAAATACATCACGAAAGAGAAGGAGATAAGACGAACAGCAAAGGCCAATCCATTTGCGATCAATACCACACTGTTGACATCCTTCAAGGATCCCCAAAATTCAATAACACATTGCCCAGATCCATCCGCTTGACAAATCGATCCTTTTCCTACTCTTGGATCGTGACCTGCTGATGTGACAAGTGATTGGAACAGCGTGAAGCTATATCCCATGGGACCTACTCCATCTACGTAGAAACACAGAAGAGGTTCAAAACAGTCCTTAGTTGTTCGATCACCGCACCTGACATGAATTTGTTGTGCTTACTATTCCCATTGTAATCTGATATAAAGATTAAAAGAAGCAGAAACATGAGCAAAATGTTTCATCAAATCCTCTTCGTCTTATCGACATCATCCTTTCGATAAATGTATCTGGGTGAGGAATACGCAAATGAGGAGAGAAAGCTTACACAGATAATAAGACCACAGTTCTCTTCTGGAGACCACGGGCTCTTCATCCTCTTCGTGATCTCCTACATCCTGCTTATTGTCGTCGTCCTTTTTTACGTCCGAAGAGTCCACTAACTGACCAGAAGAATCGATGTGCGTGCCATCAAATGCATTAGGGGTTTGAGCTATTTTGATGTACCAATCGCTTGGGAATCAGTTAGTAAGGTAGGTAGCGTCAAAATCATGGTGAGCAGACTTACGAGTGTCAAGATTTGCAGGGTGCATTTCTTAGGAATCAGCAAATGGTTCGCTTTGGAACCGGGTCTAGGTACGTTTAGGCGCCAGACGCTTATATCAGGCAATAGGAATTCAGATTAAAGTGGAGCCTGTAAAATGCGGCTTCACCGAACGAGTTTGTTTGTTTTCTGATCTCGCAGCAAGGGTGTCTTTACTTTGGTCCCGTGGATATCCAGGGGATGAACCAAGGTGGATGATGTCGAATGATCAAAGTTTTATAATTTATCAAAGGATAGATTAGCATCAGGCTGTACAACATACAATTTTTAAACGGAGTATCAATCTTTCGAGCTTAAAAAGGTTGTGATATAAGCACGTAGATTTGAAAATGTGCTGGTTGATGGACCAGATATTCCAAAGCAAGCATATCCCTTGCCGACTCGGTAAGTGGTTTTCAGGCTCAATATCAGCCTGAGCCAAATTGACAATGCCTCAGTCAGTTGAAAAAGATCAACTCAAGAGCTCGACAATCTGCTAGGGTTTTCAAGTAAACATCGAAGATATATACATATGACCATGCCGCATCACACCTGATAAGCACACTGGAACCTCGAGGAGTACATATGTCCCCTAAACTGCCTTGGGTGTTCCTTGCTTTGTTTGTTTTTCAGCTTTTCACATTATATGCGCGATACCACTCCGCTCTACCCGCTGCTAAAGTCTCGGCAGATGTACCCTTCGCGCCCGGCAACGACTGAACACTATGCAATTGTAGTAAGTAATCCAAGTTGAAGGTGGAGGAAGAATTGAGGCAGATGGTCCCACGGATGCTCGTCAATGCAGGTCAGCATCAAGTTGACCATCACAGTTGTGGCCTGATCGTTGGCCACATCAAGCCCGCCGTACTGTCATGTGATTGATGATGAACATCATTCGGCTTCAATGCTATAAAATCCGCCCGGTTCGATCTGAGGGGATGCATCCTTCAACGGTATTGTAGTGATGACTGTTTTGTCACAAGACCTGGCCGGTAGATAACAAAGAAAAAGAGAGGAACACAAAGACAGAAAGAGGAACGGTGACTGATGATGTTATGTCTGGGGAATTCTGTAGAATCATACGATCTAATGGGACCCTCACGTTCTAAGAAAACTCAGATTCGGTTTGTGAGATCGAGGTTGAGGTAATGTCTACTCTGCCAGTAAGCTTGAATAAAGGCCTCACAACGTAAATCGATAGGAGCGCGAAGAAATTGGGCGCAAAGGGCAGAAAGATGAACCCAGCATCTTGGCAATCCATTCTTGCAAGTTTGGAACACCTTGATCAAAGACAAGCCATGCTTGACCTCCCCATCTTGATTTATATTTGTTATAATTTCAATTTCTCGCAATCGGTAACAGATTGTATGCCAAAACGAAGCCTAGACGGTTGCGACCCTGCTCTTTGTTGAGGACTATTTATCACATCATGGATCACTTCCGTCTTGCCTTGGGTCAGAGAATCCAGTCATGGGAAGATCTCGAGGCATGCTACACGAATTGAGGATAATTGTTGGCACAAAATCGGAATCAGGTACAAATAATACATTGAGGTCAACGACCTCAATATGGGTCAGCGTTTCACAGAGGTTGTGAGGCTCGTTCTGCGTTTTCAATCAATTCACTGCGAAAGCAAAAACCAGACAAAACAAGCTCAGCAAGATCAAGAGGGTGTTTGAAGAAGACCAAGAGGATCGAATCCTGCCTACCCGCAGATAACATATTTGGCTTTGAAATGCATCTCCCAGTCACTGAGAGCAGTCAATTCTAGCTCAGTGAGATCACCCAGATCATCAATGGGTGCATCTATGGGAGTCAGGATTGACTCTTCAAACGTCTGCTTTGCTAACCCACGTGAGGCATCCCGGCCTGCAAAGTTACCATAAGGGCTTTGGTCATGGGAGACAGAATCGGTTGGACCGACTTTGGATTAGTGCAGAGCCGTAGGCGTTGAGTTGGGGTGAGTTTGTATTTCTTACCCGTCTGGACCATAAAAGTTACGACCAGAAGAAAGATCATAAACCAGTTTGTTGATGGCAAAAAGCTATTCGTTGGATTAGGATTGATCAGTACACTTTGATAGCTTTTCATCGAGTGAATTGAAGTCCTCACAATCTTTCCACCATTAGCTCCATCAAATGACCGAAGTTCGAGTGGGGTATAAGTTCTCCACACCACACTATCCGGAAGTTTAGCTGGCTTCCAATTATATTGAATCGGACTAGTTTCGATCTTCAAATCTTGTTTAATTTCAGTGACATCTTCAGGTGACCTTAGATCATCAAATTTGAAGGAAGGAAAGAGTGGTATGATTGCGTATCCTAGAATAACAAGTAAGACTACATTGATAGGATTAGTGAGAAAGGGAAGACAAGTTGTCCAAAGTTCGCTATCGAAAGTTAGTATTGACATCGATGTGGTTCATGAGCTGGAACAGGTTGGAAATAGGAGATGGTATCTGTTTGATGCTCTCGACTCAGCGGCCTTTCGTCTTCTGAGAAACATGTTCCTCGAAATAAGCATATGCAATGATCGAGGGCCATGCCTATGCTTAGGACGAGTTTGGATTAACGAAAGAGTCAATGTCATCAAGGATGTCACACTGAAAATCAACCTGTGTAAGATGGGAGTAGCTCTTGTGACTTCCTCCGACCATCGCATGAAAAACTTTCAAGAAAGTCATAGAAGCAATATCAGATCCCATCAGCAAAATAGTCAAGAATATCAATACCAATCAACATGTTTGTCCTTTCACACCTCAAGGTCAGTAACAATTCAACCTAGACTAATTATCAATACCCGGATTGTTATATAAGAAACTGAAGATCTTCTCCGTACGAACAAACAAATCAAATGAAGTGGATTGTTTAGGATACTATCAGAGTCTTGGCCCGAGACTTTGGACGTGATCGAGCAAAGGTGCTTGAGCAAGAAATTAACCGAAAATATGCGAACAAGGTACATTTATCACATCTGTACTTCATCCAAGTCGAATAATATACTAATTGCTCAATGAAATATCTCGATAGGTCTTACCAGACGTAGGATTATGCTTGTGCTTATTCAATATTGTTTCTGCTTCTGAAGGCAAAGTACTCTATGGCGATGGATGTCTTTATCATCTAGGTAAGATACGTAGCTATTTCAAAATACCTGCACCCCGTAATTTTTATGATAACACCATGATTGCCAACAGCTGACTTGCATATTGATTGATCTAGTCGAATTCACACTCGCTGTCTTTCGTCCGTTTATAGGCGAAAGTTTGGTGGGTATTGTCAAATCGAGTTCACCGGCCGGCATTAGAGGTTCGAAGCTTTTGCTCTCACTTACACAGATTCTGCATCATTGCAAACGCTCAAAAGTTCTTCTCTCGACCTTCCCAACAGTCTCATTGCACTTTTTCGATGACATTCATATCCCTTGTCGATCTCTGCCCTTCCCATCAGCTTAGTGAGTTTCATCATCTCAGTTTCCATCGACGTGGCAATAACTAACGTCAGGTTTTTGTTCCTACCACTTGATGACAGTGAGCCAACTTTGAATGAATTTTTCTGGGCATCCGATTATTCAGATCTTGAGGGTCAGCCTGAGATGCCTAGTGATCTTCTTGCTACGCCCCTCGAAGGAAGATTATATATTCAAGTCGGTCAGACTATCCGGTTTCGAATCGAGCAGGAGCATTTCTTCGATATTGGACCAAAGGAAGCTCCTAAGGCTCCTGACCCGGTCCCCGAGGGTGTTGAATTGAGTGCCTTAGAGCAGCAGATTATTCAAGCCCGACAGGAAGGCATCCCTGCCTATAGTCTGAGTGTAAGTCTATTCTACGTAGTGATTAGACACTTTCTATCTGATCTCCTTTCCATCAACGAGACATTATGATATTTTGTTATTTACTCAGAACTTTGACTTTTTACCCGGTTGCTTTCGATTTTGTACCTTTGGGTGTCAATAGGCCACATGTAGTGGTCAAGGATTGGGTATAGTGGCATGGTGGGGCGAGGCAGAAGATGATCAAGATGCTATGGTCGAATGACCCCTTTTAATTTGCTAATGTCTTCTAAATTCGGGCAATCGTAACCTCAAAAATGGCCACCTGGCGATCGTACTCGACATACGTTACTACAGTCCCTGAACGATAGGTCTCATAAGTGATTTTTCATCGACTGCATCGGGGGAGCATTGTGCAAGCTTTAAGGCAAGCTTTTATCAACAGGCTCGAATACATGATCAAATATCAGCTTTTATGAACAGACTTGAGTTCATTACATGATCGAATATCGCAACTTGAATGGACTTATTTGTCAAATTCAAAAAATCATCGTCCGAGTTGTTGGGCTAGAGTCTAGAGACTTTGGTTGTACTCACATCATGAATCACTTGTGATAGTGACGGTATCATTGATTCGGCTCTTGCGGATGAAAAAATTTAAGCCATTTGTTTCCCCTTACCAAACCCAGACCTCATATTTCCTAATCTTGCAAAAAAGAGCATGCCGTTATTACACAATGAGAAAGCCTCAATGTCAAATAAGAGTCTGTTATTAAATCTTTTTTCTTCGTCCATAATGAATCTTCCAGAGACCACTCTCTAGACATTTCATCAAAATCCAATCTCCAATGTGGGACACGCACTTGCGCTTGTGGTGAAATTCTATTCTGAGGAAGAATAAAAAAGTAAAAGCAAAATCAAAACAAACCCATCTCCTGTTCCGCTTCATTTTTCTCTTGCAGGAGCTTCCTCGAAATATGTATCCAGACAAGTCTTCTCCCCACTTCACCTTTTCTTATACCTTGTTTCACGCGCTGCTGAATCGAGTGACAGAGCATTCCTCCTGTCTGTCAAGTCGCAAGTGGCAGATAGTTTTTGGTTTGCATCGACCAGCATCGTCTCTCACCTTCGATCTATTTATAACTGCGGGTATCCCACCTTTCTGGCCTTTTCTGGCCTGACGGACACGCACATACATAGTGCACATACATGTTTTAAAGATAGCCAAAATCAAACTTCGAAGACCTTTTCGTGAGCAGGCTTGTTTTTTCACTTGTTATTCTTCACCACGATGGGCTTCACAGGGCTTGACGGCAGTTTTTTGTAACCGGGGAGATCCACGGTCCGAACGTGATCTTGTACATACTCAAATGCAAGGCAATCTGGACAGTGGACATGGACCTACATGGACATTGAAAATGTTCTTTTTTGCATACAATCCTTTGAGCTTTACGCCCACTAGAAATGCGGGGTGTCGCCGCCCGATGAACAACAGACTGTAGTCTGAAGTCTTGCAGGCTTCAATATACTCCAAAATTAAAATGCTGCGCGAATCGCGAATGATGAGCACCGCATTCGCCGCAGTCTAGACTCTATCCTATTTTATCTCAAGGTGTGCTCCGGCCGATATCCGGCGAGTTCAAGCCATTCCGACAACCGAGCCGCCGGATAATCCGGCCACCGGATGATGCCAAAGGCCTTTCCGGTATCCGGATCCGTCGGATAATCCGACGGATATCCGGCTAAAAAACCGGGTCCGGGTCCCTGACAACACGCGTAAGCTGCGGTATCCGGCGTGTTCAGGCCATTCCGATAACCGAACCGCCGGATTATCCGGCCACCGGATGGTTTCAAAACCCTTTCCGACATCCGGATCCGACGGATGCTCCGACGGATATCCGTCGGTTCTTCGGCTCCGGAGCACACCTTGAATTTTATCCACTTGTTCCATTCACACGGATGTCCCTTCTCCCTCGTCGAGCAATTTGAAATTTCTGAGAGGATGTGGGGCTTTTGAGCCGGACCCGACCGAAGTCTCACACTTTTGACGCCGAGCACTTGTGTGCTCGAGGAACGTGAGACACATGTGAAGCTTTTGGGGCTGGAGCCTGGGGTGCCCACCAGACTTGTATGTACCATTTTTATCGTCGATGAGAGTGCCAATAGAGGATAAAACAGGCTAAAACAGGTCATTCACGTTTCCCCTCGTCCGCTTTGTCTCTCAAAATTATCCATATACCACTCTTCAACAAGTATTCTTACTACAGTCACTTATCATGCAATCCTTAAGCCTCCTCTCAGTCATTTTATTGCTACCCGCCTTTTTGGTGGCATCCTCAGGCGAACGTCACACTCAATGTTATAACTATTTCCTCAACAAAGATCAATGTGTTTACGGCTCTCAATGTGACCCATGTCCCGCAGGTCAACCTATTCCTAAAAAGACATGTGAGAGCGGCGGACAGGTTAATTAGTTTTCTGCATCACTAGCAAGTCCCAGTGCTTGAGCTGACATCACTCAACATTCATATTTGTCAGTTCCAACACCCTACGGCCGTCAGCCCAACAGATCAGATGTCCTACTCGATACCCGCCAAACACGCGCGCGTCCGCCGATATGATACCACGACTCCAGTCAGTTCCTTTCCTCTTTAACGTCTTGCAATACTCCGTCAACTAACGGATCATGTGATGCTGCAGTCGTCTTTCGTCGCCGGAGGTAATGGAGTAAGTTCTCTGATTTCCTTGCCACAGGTCGGGCAGTCTCTGACGCTAGTGCCTCCAGAATTGCGGTTTTTACAACACTACTAGTGACTTAGGTCAGTCCACATCTCGCGCATCTCACGTATCACGTCTTTTGAGGTGAAGCTCATGCCGGTTATGTAAAACCCAATTTAGGCGTGTGCATTTGGTCCGGCAGTGACACGACTGGAAACAGCACAACCGATAACGGATGGTTGAACCAGTACGTCACTTCTCCTTGTAGAAAATAATATTCCTGATCATCGACTAACTTGAAGTAATAAACAGAGCCACCTCTGACAACTGCAACAAACAAATGTAAGTTGAGGCTCGCGTTGACCTCCGACAGACCAGATGCTGACAGCTCCTTTCCCTCAGCTATATCCAACGCCAAGGCCAACCCGACACCGTTAAGTTTGTTCCCGTCATCGACTCCTGCAACTTCAACACCGTGGATCCTGCGCTCGGCTGCTTCCAGGTCTTCGTGACCAGAGCTGTGAGTCTCAGTCTTACCTCAGACTTTAATTCCTACACCCTGCTAATATTCCTTTGATAGTTGTACGACTCATTCAACCCCACCCAAGAGGAGTTGAACTCAGGAGCGTTGAACAACATCACTTGGGACTTGTAAGTCTCCCTTCCCTGCCTGTGACATAGATACGAGCTTTCACGTTTGGCTGATTTTACCCCATCGTTTCATAGCAACATCGGATCAGCTGAAGACCGTCAGCCCGGTCCCATCTAATTTTTGCCTCTCTCGCTTGATTTTACCGCTCTCCAATGATGGAAATATGTTATTTTTGTGCCACGATTGTCTGCTTGCCTCCTGTCAATCCGTTTCTTGGAATTGTCACTCTTGTCTTTAGAAAGTTGCCTTCTTGTTGGGTTTTCCCACGTGCGGCAACCCAAGCAGTTGCTTATGCTCACTCCATGATCAGGCTGCTCGCAATGTAATGTGATGCCCTCTTATTTTGGTGAATGTCGCAATTGAAGATGCTAGTGTTATCAAATGAATCATCCTCTTCAATACAACAGACTTGCCACCGAAACTCGGTCAAGATATTCAAGCCGTGTGGCGGATATCAATTGTCAAGGGCACGGATGTTGCAATTCTTTGTTCACTTGCTTGGTGTTGCCAGCGGCGTCTACTGAGGAATAATATGCCTAACTCGTATGAAGGGACTATTTCCAGATGTCATCTCCCTGATCTTCATAATGTCCATCTGTTTGAGGGTGGTATGCTGTTGGTGAGTCTATTTTGCAATGTATGTCCATCATGATCTTTGAAAGGAATACACTGCCAATGTCTAAAGTGACTGTTTTTGGTCTTCTGTGTGAATCCCATATGTTTTCTATCATACTAGAGGCTAGATCATCAGAACTCATTGTTTTCTTGTATCCTATAAATTGAGCCATCTTAGTTAGTCTACTACTACTGTTGGGATGCAATCAAACCTGTGAAACAGGCAAGTCAGTGATTATGTTGTAACAGATATAAGTCCATGGTCCATAGAGTATTGCAAGTGGTTGAAGGGTTCCAAATGTCTGCTGTTTGAGCCTTTACCCTTCAGCAGGACATCCATCCATCCATATGCTTATTTACATACACCTTCATTGACACATAGTGGTAGGATCTTTTTGGTAGTGCTGACACTCTACTTCTACCTGGATGTCCAGCTATGTGGCTATAATGTGTGGACCGTAATATTTCTAGCTTGAGCTTGTCATCATCTGGGCTTACTCTTTCCATGACAATATAAAAAATTATCTCAAGGGCTATATCCATCTAATAATCTTGACAAACCCATGTCTTCACAGAGGTGAATCAATTTTTTGATCTTCCGGTCTTGAACTGACTACTTTCTTGCCTCATTGATTATTTCCGCATCATTCCATACTGCATCTTGTTCAATCAGCTTGTTCTTAAATCCTTCAACTCTTGGGTTTTCTTCATAGTTACTGCTGACCAAAGATTCTAGTAATTCAAGTCCATCAATAAACATGTCACTTGGGAGATTTGCTGGCTTGTGGCAACGCTGCCACAATTACTTTACCAGTATTGGTATTGTAACGGTATCATAGTTTTTTTTAGTATCGTATTGTCAGTATCAGTATTGCAGCCACAATACGTTACTGCCGATCCTCCTGGCAGTATCGTGTATGGCGGTACTTTACTGAGTATTGTATTGTACCCCAAGTACAATACCGCAATAGGCCCAGGGAAGTATTGAGTATACAATCTCTGGTGTTTTTGTGTCTGGGAGTGCAATACTACAATACAGTATCAGTATCTGATTGATATTGTGACAAGATACGCTAATAGGTAATGGGCGGCACAGTATTGCCATTGCAATACTTTACTGAGTATTGTATTGTGGGTACAGGCACGTTACTGAGGCTTGGATTCCTGAGTATTGTAGACCCGTTACTTTACTGAGTATTGTTGATACAATACCAGTATCGTATTTGTGGCAGCGTTGCTTGTGGAGCTGGCTGAATGTTAATTTTTCACTTTTTTTTGGTGCCAAATTTGGTCTTTGAGAGAGTGAATCCGGTTTGGTTGATTGTTGACCAGGTTGGAACCTGATCTTGAAGTCAAAACTTCCCATTACTTCTGCCCATCTTTCTTTGTTGAAATTATTGATTGCAAGTTCTTATAGTCAGTGTAAACTATCATATCAAGTCTATGTGGGTTCTCCTCTGTATACTGCCTCCATTCTTTGATGGAGGTGATGTTACGACTCTACCTGTGAAAGGTTCAACACGCATGTCACACATAGTAGACTATTTGTATATACGTCACTAGCTCATACTGTCCTATTTCCTTCATGCGACAATCTTATAATAGAGACCAGATGACCTATTGATTCCTCTCTTCTGTTGACAAGATCCACACCTAGGGCCTTAACATATTGTCGCATCTTCTCAAAAACGTGAACTGAGGAAAGATAGACCAATCCGAAAGAATCAAAATTAGAATCGATTGACTTTAGAAGATTTAGATTAGACTTCAACTACAAGATTAGAATTTGACAGAAATTTTAAGAACTTGTGAGAATTGAACTCACACTTGATCAACAACAGAACATCAGATTTAACGTTTCAGATCGACTATTCAGAGTTTAGCCACCACGTCGCCTTCATACAGAACCCCCGCAGACGGCGACGACGATTCAGACCCTGAAACATTCACAAACTTCGTCGACGCCGATACCGCTCTCACTGATACAAATCTTGCACTAGCATCTGACTCTACTGCGATGGAAGACATACAGCGTCAATTGAATGAGCTCCACACCTCATTGCAAGAAGAACGTCGACTCCGATTAGAGGCTGAAGCTAGGTCTCATAACGCCGAAGCTCGCTTATCCGCTATCGAGTCTAGTCGTGCAACTCAACAAACCTCTCAGACTGTACCTCCAGTAACCCCACAGGCTCCACATGTATCATCGGCCGCTAACCCTAAGGGACCGAAGGTCTCCGTCCCTGATAAATTCAATGGGGTGAGGGGCGCTCCAGCCAAGGTTTTTGCAAGCCAAATTCAGCTATACATGTTAGCGCATCCCTACCTATTTCAGGACGATCGTAGCAAAGTGGTCTTCTCGCTTTCTTATTTGACTGGAGCCGCGAGTAGCTGGGCTCAGCCATTGACTCTCGAGTTGTTTGACAATGCTACTGCTCACAACGTGACTTTTGATCGTTTCATTACTAATTTTCGGGCAATGTATTTCAACACTGAAAAAAAGTTCAAGGCTGAAAGGGCCCTTCGAACTCTCACCCAGAAGTCGTCTGTGGCCGCCTACACCCATGAATTCAATATTCATGCATCAGCGACAGGATGGGACGTTCCTACACTCATTAGTCACTACGAACAGGGTCTGAAAAAAGAAATTAGAGTTGCTATGGTGATGGTACAAGATGAGTTCACTAGCATAGAGCAAATTGCAAATTTAGCGATCAAGATAGACAGCAAGATACATGGGGTCTCTGATCCATCTCTCGTCACATTTCATACACCGGACCCCAACGCTATGGACATCTCCTCCGGGTTTGTTCGACTGTCTGATGAAGAAAAGAACCGACGTATGAGAGCTGGATTATGTTTTAGATGCAATGAACATGGTCATAGGGCAAATGAATGTCCTGGTAGAAAGTCTGATAGAGGAAGAGTTGGTGGAGGCTATAAGGCTAGAGTCGCGGAATTAGAGTTGAAGGTTGCAGCGTTTGGAAACAAGGAGGATAGCAAGAATGATGGGGTTAACTCTTCTAGTCGAGCAGAATCGTCGAAAAATGGCGGTGCTCAGGCCTGAGCGATGTGCCTAACCTGAGCCATGATGGGGTAATAGCTGAAATTGAACTGGGCGCTAGTAGAATCATTACATGCAATGCAAATGATCCACGTGTTTTTCTCAAGTGTTCATTATCAACGTCCCAAAAACCCCGCGCCACATCAACCACATCTTTTTCTACACTTTTTCTTGTCGACTCTGGTGCCACGCACGATGTGCTAAGTGAGACCTTTGCGCATCGAACGGGCCTTATTGACCGAGCAGTGCGCGCAACACGGATTGTCACCGGTTTCGACGGCTCACGTAGCCATGCATCTTATGAGACAGATTTATTTATTCACCACGACTCCTCCCCTACCCACTTCATTATTACTCGTATCAAGGATTCGTATGACGGAATACTTGGTATCCCTTGGATAAGAAGAAACCACCACCTTATCGACTGGATAAGTGGCAAAGTTCACTTAGATCACACCACCATTGCAACTGCAAATGCAGTTTCGTCAAATCCGCAACCACCCTCACCAGCCCAAGGATTGGAGCCCGCGAGGGATGTTAGGAACACTGACGAGGGGGCCGCTATCGTAATTGATACGCATCAGCCCCCGCAATGTGAGTACGATACGCCTACGTCTCAAATTTCTTTTGAAACAGTTGGCAAGCTTTGTCTTTCCCCAAAATTACAGACTCCACCGACTCAATCACTCGAAGTACCGACACCTACAATCGACTGCTCCAAGAACGTTGATCTTCATCCAAATCTAGAAGTTTCCAAGGTCGACATATCCCTCATAACACCTGCGGCTGAAATTACAGCCTCGTCTGATCCGTCACCACCCTCGCCAGGTCATGAAATTGAGCCCATGAGGGAAGCTAGGCAAAACGACGAGGGGATGTGTATCGTTGATGATACTTTAACATCCCCGCAGGGTGAGTCCGCCACGTTTATTGTCCCGTCCTTTTGTGAGAGCGCTAGCAAGCAAGTATCCATTCCAAAATCACAGATTAAACAACAAGACAATAATGTTACCACCGAGACCCACTCATAGCGTGTTCAGCCAACCGGATTATCCTACGCGGCTGTAGTGACAGCTTCGTCCATTCCGAACAGATCCCTTGTCAAGCCAAGAGTGGAGCCACAGGGGCACATTAGGAAATGTGACGAGGGGGCCGCTATCATACTTGATACGCATCAGCCCCCGCAATGTGAGTTTGAGAGAGTCCCATCTTCCATTTCACTAGAAGCAGCTGGCCAGTTTTTACGTCCCCAAAACAGACATCTCGATATCTCTGCGACGAAAGCTTCCTGGTCGACTTCAGCACGTATTGCTGCGGACGAAAAGTCAAAAGTACCCGTCAAGACGGTTGAACAGATGGTACCCTCTTGCTATCACCGACATCTTCACTTATTCCAGAAATCTAGAGCCCAATGTCTTCCGCCCCGACGAAAGTACGA